TCTCTCTGTCTCTCTTAAATCCTGGCACACAGTTTGCTCTTGCCCTTTGAAGCTCCTTCTCTTTAATCTCATTCCCTTTTGGGGGCCTTTGCTCTTCTTAGAGTCCTTCAGGATCCCTCTACCCCCACCCACAACTCTGCTGGAAGATCTTGGTCAAGATCCTACATTGCCCTGAGTTCTCTCTTGTGTGAGCAGAGGCAGCCAAATGTCCAGGCCTTCCTGGAGCCTCCCAGTACTGCATGGCTGCAGTGGGGGCTGCTGGTCCCCTTTCTGCACTCCATCCCACCTCCTGCACACTCACCTTTTCCATGCCCATTTCATCAGCTCTGCCCTCCCGAGGCCAGCGGGCTTCCTGCCCACCTGCTCATTTGGTATTACCACATGCACAGGCACAGGAGAGCACCTTTTTCTAACCTCATTTAGAAGTTTGTCCATTTGGATTGTACTTTGGTACTTGGTTACCCTAAAAGGCAAGAAGGAAGCTTGGCTGAATGTTTCAGGGCAGCTATCTATCCTCTCTCCAGGGGTCTTCAGTTGGCCTGGGAGCCCCCTACCCGGCCCTGCTAGTAGGGGTTCCCTTCTACGTCCCCACTCCCACCCTGACCTCCAAAGCCTGTTTGACAATTAGAGCTGAGGGATCCAGAACGTCCACAGATCCCGAGCCCTCCTCCCCTCCCCCAGGAGAGCAGGATTGGCCTCTAGCAGCAGCACGGCTGAAGCAGAGCAGACTCAGGTTGCTTTCTTGTGTTTTAATCAGGGCTTTCCACAGGGGAGACACTCGATCACGACAGTGCCTTTGCCCAGTGGTTCTCAAACCTGAGCCTGCGTCGGAATCACTGGTGGGTTTATGAAAGTGCAGAGCGCTGAATGTGTGATTCAGTAAGTCCTGGCTGGCGACCTGAGAATCTGCATTTCTAATAAGTGCCCAGGGGATGCTGGTGCCAGTGCCAGGGGACCACACTTTGAGAACCCGTTCCTTAGGAGACGTATCCAGGGCCAAGCCTGTGCGGGAGCTATTTCAGGACAAGGGCCTTTTGAGATGGGGCTTTCATATCTCCTGAGGGCCTTGTGAATATTCGACTGAGGGCCTTGTGAATACGCAGCTGAGGGCCTTGTGAATATGCGGCTGATTCTGATTCTCTTGGTCTGAATTTTTCACAAATGGTGTTGGTGCTGCCGGTCCATGGACCACACTTTGAGTAGAAAGGATTCAGAAAGTCGAGGAAGAGGTCTTCTTATTTGGGGGCAAGAAAGAAGTTAAAGTTTTGGGTGGATCCTAAATTTTCTAGAGCTAATATTCGTCAGAATGTTTTCTTGAATGTCTGTGGTAGGCAGAATTCTAAGATGACTCTGGCTGATCCATGCCCTTGTATAATTCCCTCCTTGTGGGATGTGCCAGTAGATGGAACATCGCTACCGTGGTTAAGTTACTTTATGTGGCAAGGGTGAAGGAATTCTGTGGAAGTAATTTAGGTTCTCGATCAGTTGACTTGAAGTTAATAAAAAAGATCACATGTGCTGGGTGGGCAGACATAATCGGGTGAGCTATTTAAAAGAGGATCAGGAGGTCAGGGTCAAGTGAAGTGGTCAGAGACTCGAAGCAGCAGCAGATGTTCTTTCCGTTGGCCTCGAAGAAACAAACTGTCCTGGTGCAGAGAGGGCCTCAGGGCAGGAAGCATGGGTGGCATCCGGGAGCCGAGAGTGGCCTCATCCAGGGAGAAAGTGGGGGCCCAGTCCTGCAGTCATAACAGCCCTCTGAGCTCAGAACAGGAACCCCGTGCTCCAGGAAGGAGCACAGCCCAAAGGGAACCTTGATTTCAGTCTGGTGGGACCCTGAGCAGAGACATCTGACCTACAGCAATGTGAGCTACGAATGCGGTTGTTTTAAGTGGCTGAGTCTGTGCTGGTGTGTTACACGACAATAGAAAATGAATACAAGGTCCTGATCCTTCACTTTGATCGTGGTGCCTGACCACCAAGGTGTACTGTGGCAATGACTTCAGTAGCTTCACACAACACGAGCTGATTTCTTGCTCGTGCTACAGCATCATCATGGGTTAACTGCGTTGGACTGTGACAACTCATCAGAGCCACTCGGGGACCCAGGTCTTTGTCAAAACAGAATTTACGGAGACCAGTAGTGGGACTCCCATTGTTTTGATGCAAGTGCTGAGGGGTGGAGATTATTCCTATTTATCAGAAGCAGAAGCAGGCATAGCAGGAGCAAGTGAGTGGATCGATGGATGCGGGTGGACCCCGGCCTGCTGCCCGGATGGCTTGACTGTGCTGTGCTGGCAGCATGGATGAACAAGGGCTCAGAGTGCACCATGCATGAGAGAGGCTGGCAGCAGAGCACCAGCTGTGAAATGCACAGGCCTGGAATCAGCGCTTGTTTTTCCCAGTCATGTGCCCCGCCCGACTTCGAGGTGAATATTAGTGAACATGAGTGTACCCACCACGTAAGACTACCCAGTTAGCTCAGTTGGGGTGGGAGGGAGGGACGCAGGATTTCGGCTCACCAAGCTTCACAGAGCTGCTCTCACCACCAAGGAGCGAGCTGGTCGGGCATCTGACAGCTGAGAGGAGCCGGAGGGGCTAAGAATGCAAATGGAACACTTGCTCACAGCCCCAGGACAAATCAAAGGTTTCCTGCGGGGCTTTTAGGGTCTGGTCTGTGGAAACCCAGCAAGTCTGGGCTATCTGCGAGTTGAAGATCAGGTTTTCTTGTGGTGAGGGTGACAGATTTTCCCACGCAGTAGAGATAAAAATTCCTTGGTGTTTTCAGTCTTTTTTTTTTTTGGGAGAGTGGCTGACTTCTTGTCACTCGGACACCCTGGACACAGGGCTTGGGACAGTTGCCGCCCTTGGTGCCCCTCAGAGGACAAGGAGGACACATTTCCCAGAGAGTAGAAGATGGTCTTTCAAAGCATACAAAGAAAATCCCATCTGTTTTGACATCTTAACAACTTTGGAAGAAAATATTTCTAATATATACATATATAAAATATATATATATAGTAGTGAGTATATATATGTGCGTGTATATATATAGATTTTATATATATATTATAATCAGTATATATATAATGTATATACTCAGACCCAGTATATATATATAATATATATAAAAAATATATACTGCTATAATATATATACTCACTACAAGTAGATGCCAAAAAAGTACTTTTACAGCTTTGCCAGTAGGAATCTCATTTGGCTCTGAAGGCCCTTTCCCGCTAGGGCAGGGAATTAGGCCTGCTGCTACATGTATTGTTGTCTGAGTTGGTCCAAATCTACCTCTCTTGCATTCATTTCGTTTCTTTTGGGTAGACGTTCACTCTTCCGGTTTCTCACCAGCACCTTCCTCTAGCCAGGAAGAAGCCTGAGAAGAGGGGGGACATTGTGTCCCCAGGGAGTGGTGGGCAGCTGATCCACATATGCTGAACTGGGGTCTGCACTGGCTTCTGTGGAGATGTCCCTGGACCTTCCTGGTCATGAGGCGTCCTGTGGAATCTACTGCTGGCATCTGTGACTGGCAAAACCTGAGGTCTGGTGCCTCAGTCATCAGAGCCAGTGCTCTATCCAAGGTTGCCCCACTGTGCCTCTCACTGGCTCCACAGGTTCTCTGCATCTTGGCCATGACCTTGTTTCTTCTGTGGCTTAGACTGTCCACGTGATACTTAAAATGTTTAGCAACCAGCAGGGCATGAGTACCAGCCCATCAGAAAAGATGCTACAGCACCTGTTGCTGCACCTGAATAGCTCAGAGGAGCGCCAGGAAAGCCAAGGTAGCAGAGGCTGGAGAGCTCAGGCTCTTGGGGAAGTGATTATCTACCAAGAGGTAGGGCAGTCTTCCCCCACTTGTCCTCACTGCTCCTTACTGACTGAATGCCCTGAAGCCACAGCTATAGGTATTCTTGTCTTTCATCACGGCAGCCCCATCTCAGCCCAGATCTCAGTTCACCTTCCATTCTCTCCTGGGAGTGCAGGGGAAGGTCTGAATCTCTCCCATCAGTGAAGCACCCCTTTACCTAACAGCCACACCATCATTTCCGTTCTTCTTTAGCGTCCCTTACTTCACCAAGGTAGGATTCTTCCAGAGACGCAACTTGGAAGCAGAGCAAACATTCCTCTGCGTCCAGCCTCCCTCTCTCTTTTACCTTTTGTCCCTTTGCCCTCAGGTTTCAAACCCAGAATAAGAAGCAGGACTGCCTGCCTGATTCCTCTTGTACCTTCCCTCCTTTTGTCCAGGAGCCCAAAGGGTCTTTTTCTTCTACTGACACTTCCTACCAGGAAGGAACTTCCCCTGTATCATATTCACTTCCTTCCCTCCTTCTGAGGAGGACTTTGCTCTCTCCCTTTCCTGGGGCCGTAGTGGCAGAAGAATGCAGAGTAGCAAGGAGGAAAACACATTGGGAGGTAATTGCAATATTACCTTCATTGCGTCTGTGTTGCACGTACTGTCCCATCCTAGAGAAAGAGGGGTTTGAACAAAATTTAAACTGTCCTTTGTGATTCAAGGAAATCATTAGGAGCATCAATTATTTTTTGCTTTAACATCCTGATATACTCAGTAAGGCACAGTAACATGGAAGGGACTGCTGGTGTCTGCGCTTAAAATCCCGAAATGGCTGTGTGCTTTGGTTCTTGCATCTGCCTTAATGGTTTTCCTGTCTCCTCTGTTATTGGGCAATCAGCTGCTGCTTTCTCCAGTGTGTGTTTTCTTCTCCCAGCCTTCTCCCTCTTTCCAATTTGCCATCTGGAATCTGCTTTTGACTGAGCATTCTGTTCACCTGTTGCTGCGTGAAAAACGATCCCAAAACTTAGTGACTTAAAAATGACAACTGTTTGATGAGAACTCCAAGTTTCTGTATGTCACGAATTTGAGGGCTCAACTAGGCGATTCTTCTGCTCCATGTGTCTGATTGAGTTCAAACAGTGGTGCTCAGCTGGTGAATGGACTCATCGGGAGGGTCCACCATGGCTTCACTCACATGGCTGGTGCCTTTGCAGGGTTCCTGGGAGGCTGGGCATAGCTGGGATTGTCAACCAATGCCCTACATGTGGCCTCCCTAACCAGGTGGTCTCAGGGGAGTTGGACTGTCTTCATGGTGGCTGGCTTTCCACGGAAGCCAGGCAGAAGCAAGTAGCCCATGGAAACCAGGTGGAAGCTGCATGGATTTTTGTGATCTAGCTCCAGAGTTCACACAGCACCACTTTTGTGGCATTGTATTGGTTACACCAAGTTACAGGCCAGCCCACATTCAAGGGAGGTGAGTTAGACTCCACCTCTTGGCGGCAGAGTGGCACGGTCACATTCTAGAAGACCATGTGGGATGGCAGACATTGTTGTGGTCACCTCTGGAAAGTACAATCTGCTGCTCTTAAAAACTAGCCACGCACATACAAATCAACAGAAAGAGCTTCTGAAGGAAGACTTCAAAGCTGCTTCTGTGAGTAGAATATGCTACATGCCTTTGTGCCAGGATCTGATTGGCTGGCTTTCCCCTACTCAGGTCTTCCTGTCCTTGTTTCTTCTGTCTTTGTTGTATTTTAGATGGGCAGGTTTTCTGGATGACTGATTACTCAAATATTTTAAGTGTTTCCCACACTCAGATTATAAGACAGAAAGCAAAATTTGTTTTAAGGGTGTATGTCTGTTCACAACCAACCCCTGCTCTAATGCCAGAGTGTCCAGTTACTAATTAACTTTACCCAGCAGGTAGCCCAGTAGAGCTGGAAGTCCAGTTCCCAGGAGACCTCAGAAGCCCCGAGTTGCGGCTCTGCCATTGGTGGTCACGGGGTCTTCGGCAAGAGAGTTGACTGGGTTCAGTGGTTGTCTGCTATGACTCGATGCTTTAGAAACTAAAGCTGTATCTAGGACTGAGGAGGCCTAAGCTCAAATCCAAATTGACTTACAGTTCCAGGGTTTTAGACCTACAAGAGACCTAGGAGGTCTCACTAGCCTAACTTTTGTATTTCAGAGGTGAAGAAACTGTGACTGAGAGATTGGGCAAATGACTCTGTGGTTGCCTAAGATCACATAGTTAGTTAATGGTAGAATGAGGACAGGAGCCCAGTTCCAACCTCCGGTTGCATATGCTGTCACTAAGATAAAAACCTTAGAATTCCTGGCAGCCTTGAGGATGTATACGTGTGTATGCATGTGTACGTACTTAGAATTGTGTGCTTATATGTTAAGCACACAACATTTATATTGTGTATTTTATAAATTAAATATCTATAGAACACTTACATGTTCTATAATATGGATCTATGCATTTGGGCTTATGGATTCCATTAGGTAAAATTGCACACATTTCTAGTATAGTAACTGGTGTTAGCTAAGTTACCAACTACGATACGGATGAGTTCTCAGGCTGGGTTGTGGAATGGTCCCTTAGCAGGAGTTTGGCAGAATGCAGATGGTGGAAGTGCTGATTTCTCATCACATCTGCCACCCGTGTCTTTGAGCAAGCTCCTTACCTCCCTAAGTACCTGGCTCTGCTTCTGTAAAATACTGACGAGAGCCACTGCTCGTTGAGCACTTTCTTCTTGCAGCATTGCTGAGCTCGTTACATATGGTGTGACATCTAATTCTCCTGTAGTGAACACCAGGGTATGCCCATTTCACAGATGAGGAGACTGAGCCTCACACAGGTAACGTAAGCTGCCCACCACCCTGCTGCTGGCAGGAAGGCAGGCAGTATTCCCACTTCTCTGTCCAGGTACACTGTGCTCTGTACATACTTCCTGACTCTCAAGGTTATTGGAATGTGTGGACAGACTTCTTCAGAGCCTCCCCAAAGTGTAGACTATGACTAATAAATGAAGTTTAGAGGGAGGCAAATTTGGGATCCAAAATGACAAGACTTTTCTAATTGTGGATACTTCCCAAGACTGGCAGTGTGCATCTTGTGATGAGGTAAGCTTGTCTTCTCTAGAGGACGCTGGGTTTCAGAAGACTGTTTGGGTGGGCAGATAGATTTAATGGCTTCTGGAGACCCCTCTAGCTCTAGGTGTTGATGCTGTTACAGAGCAGAGAATGAGTGTCAAAACCAAGGATTGTGTAGACTCAGGTTTACATCCTACTTTGTCATTCCTTAGCTCTGTGGCCTTGGGCAAGTGACTTAATTACCCAAGTCTATTTCCATTGCTCCGTGTTTATAATGGGGATGCTGGGCTCTACAGGACTCACTCACGAGTTTTGTCCTCTGGAGTTGTACAGAGCAGTGCATTCCTCTTACACAAATACCAGGCTGGGAGAATTTGAAGCCTGTGGGTTTGCCCTGCAGATGCCCAGGGCCTCACAGGTAGAGCTTCCTCCTCAGTCATTTTGGAGGAGGATGGTGACTGTCCCAGGCTAGAGGAGTGGTCTTGCTGGGTGTCAGCCTGCGCAGGGTCTAATGCAGGAGGCAGGTGAAGCAAGTGTTGGTTGATGGTCCAGCCTGCTGGGGGCTTGGAATGACCCAGGTTCATGGGGAATGGAATGTTGATACAGGATCTGAATGAGCGAAAACATGAGTTGGGTTGGTTGACTGAACTTGACCAACTTCTGTCCCAAGAACCACTGATTAAGAGATACTTCAGTGGTGGTTTTAGCAAAAAGGGATGTTTGCTGGCAGACAGTATAAAGAGAGTGCCTATGCCTCGGTGGAACCATTTGTATCCGTTTCTGCCAATTTGCTCCTCTGAGATTCAGCCCAGTGTGGCTCAATGCCCTATTCTGCCAAAGATGGGTCTCCCCACAGTGTGGCCTCCAGGAAGCAATCTGTCTCACCAGGCCCCACCAGGGACGGGAGATTAGTGTCCAGGACATCAGCAGCTGTCATTCTGACACAGCTATGCAGACCAGGAACAGTCTCAGCCGGCTGCTCGGAGGCTGATTCCTTGTCTAGCTTTTTTCCTTCCTATAGAACCAAAATAGTTTCTGGACAACTCATCTAGGTTTTTGTTTTGAGCCAGCACATTTTTCAATAAAAGCTGCCTGAAACCTGGTCACGTATTTCTCTGTATCTGAGCCTAGAAAGTCTTCCCTCTTAAAATTCGGTGATTTCCTAGGACTTAGTTAAAAAATACATTTTCTATTGTTTCACCTTTGAATTTATAAAAAATGTCCAGGTTTAATTTTGATGTAAATATTTATTTCCTCATGGGTTTTGAAGAATTTATACGACATTCATAAAACATGTTTGGGCTCTTAGGAATTCATTTTACACACTCGAGGTGACTCAGTGATAGGTGTAAGGCCTGATAGCTATGTGACTTCATTAACATTCAGCACCTGCCACCGTCATTTTGTTCTTCGAATGACTGTGCCACCTGACTCAGAGATGAGACAGTTGCCTGAAAACTTCTGGCAACAAGGTAATGATAGAAATATAGAAGAGTTTAATCTTCTAGGTGAATTCAGTCCAGATATATTCAAATATATTATCAATAAAATTATTACTCCTTCTACATCCCTGAAAATTCTTTTCTGGATCTATCGTTTACTTACTACCTTCTCAATCTGTTAAAAAATATATTCCTGCACGTATTCTGAAGTATTTAGAGGTGAAGTTTGATGATGTCTGCAACTTTCAGGTGTTCAGGAGAAAATATGTCTATGTCTGTGTCTGTGTCTGTGTCTGTGTCCGTGTCCATGTCTGTGTCCGTGTCCGTGTCCGTGTCCGTGTCTGTGTCTGTATCTGTAGCTGTGTTGGTGTCTGTGTCTGTGTCTGTGTCTCTATCTGTGTCTGTGTCTGTGTCTATGTCATGGTCTTATGTCTATTGTCTATGTCTATGTTCCCATGTCCTAGGTCTAGGTCTATGTTCTAGTCTAGGTCTAGCGTCTATGTCTAGTCTCGGATCTGGTGTCTGTTGTCTGTGGTTAGGTCTGTTTCCCATGTCTTATGTTATGTCGATGTCTGTGTCCTGTGTCTATGTCTGTGTCTATGATCTATGTCGTCGGTTTTCTGTGTCTAGGTCCTCGGTCTGTGGTCCTGGGTCTGGGTCTGGATCTGGGTCTAAGGTCGCATCTGCGTCCCTATGATCTGAGATGTCTATGTCTTGGTCTTCGAGTCCTGTGTTTGTGTCTGTGATGGGTCCTTAGGTCTGTCTATGTATCCTATGTCTAGGTTCCTGTGTCCTGGTGTCTATGTCTAGGTCTATTCTGTAATGTCTTATGTTCTATTTCCTGGGGTGTATATTCAGAGAGAGAAAAAGAGGGATGAGGAATAAGAATAAATGCGAATGCGACAAAGATGGTTAGCAATTGGTCGGCGAATCCTAGTGGAAATTATATTATTACTTGCATTTTGTCATAGGTAAGTGCTTTCAACTTTTCAGTCTTTTTGTAAATTTTTAAAAATTAAATGAAAATGGGTGAAGTAAGACACTTACATCTCTGTTTAGTGGCTCTATGTATGTGCTATTTGACCGGAGCTCGCAGACAGGCCTGGGAATCAATAGGCAGGGTAATCGGTTACCCGGGTTCATAGTCGTGCTGTACCACCTGTCCCAACGCTCAGGGCTGGCCATCCTAGCTCTTTCTACCTTACCAGCTTCTTCTACCTCCTTTCACACTTCACACATTTTGTCTCTTTCCTATGGCCGTGGTTCGGCCTGCGTTTTCTATCATACGCCTTCTGGTTTTCTCACGTTGAATGTGTGAAACTTTATTGGTTATTTGGACCAAATATT